TATTTGGCTTTATGTAAGACAATATGCCGAAGGATTACAAATTCCTATTTTGAAAATATTCATTAATAGGAATTTTATCACTACCCTAAAGTTTACATCTCATTTTATTTACTGTTCTACATAAATTTAATATCATCACATAATAATATGATTTCTTTTTTGAAAAGAATTTTATCATCCTATACCTAATGAATATATAATACTAAATACGTTTTACAATGCTTATTGCATATTTCTAGAACAATCTAGATAGTGAGAACAATAACGGGTCGAATTCACATGCGTATAGCATACAATTCTCTTGAACCTAGCACACATCAATACCGTCATGAACTACCCCATAGCTTTTGGCAAATCAGGCAACCTGAAAGTCACGAGAATATCATCAGGGCATAGAACAGGCTAGGTACCCCGAACAATATACATAGAAACAAATAATTAAGTGTAAAAAAATGAATCCAATCAATAAAATTAAAATGGGAATTTTATAATCTAAATGTAATCCTTCTGACTATACATAATACATTTAAATTGTGAATGAAATTTTTAGTAACAGACTAGTACATGTAAACAAATTATCTTTATTATCAATAGTAATACAAAGTTGAAATTAGAATCTTCTCATTTATTTAATATAAATGTATATAGGTATAATTATTTGTTTTAATTAATTTTAAAATTTAAATCATTTCAATGTTCAATTTAAGAATGTTCTTGCAAATATGTATATGATGTTTATAGTAAAAAAAAAGTAATTTTTATACATATATACAGGAGTTTTTAGACAGCAGAATATATTCATTGTTTCATAACAAGTAATGTGATATTAGTATTGAAGGTTTTTTGAAGACCGGTAAAATTCAACTATGTCAAATGTGAGACAAATATTAATTACAGTTAGTGGAATTTGGTCTAAGTATATTGGAAATTGATTGAATTAGAACATGTACATCATTGAATGTGGGCTAGATGGTAGTGAAGCTGAGTGTTCACGTACGAGACTAAAGATTGTGGGTTTGATCTTCGGTTGTGGGGTCGTACATGTACACTGCTTGAGATTCAACCTCATACCAGAGTGAAACAGCTGTCTAGTGCTTCCAAGTTTTTGATGATGATCTAGTTAAAATAGGCTCGTAATTTCAATTCATGTATTGGTTGTGAAATACCGATAAAACAAAAATTACAATTCCATTATTCTTGAATAGCACCTCTCTTACAATTAAGTCTGTCTACAGTCAATTATAACGAGCCCTTCAGTCAACTTATTTAACAGATCGTGTTATTCGAACATTAACAATTAATCTATCAAGTCTGTATGACACATATATACTTGATCACACATGACAGCCTACGCACATATCTGTCTCTCTCCAAATTAAATATTAGTTGCTTAAATATCACTCGATGAACTATTCACTTTCCCAAATACAAATGTACTTGAATCTTACTAATTGATTCGACTTTCAATTTGCCTCAGTATTCCCTTGCTCATGCGTATTAGCTTTTCTGCTCAAATTCGTTTGATATGCTCGTAAACTGTAGTCAGTGCTTTATATTGTCTTCTGAATTCATTCACCGTCGTGATTTATTTATTTATTAACAGTTATCAGAGTGATTGGTATAACAAGCCTAAAGAATTATCTCGAAGCCAAGCCTTTATACCCAGTTGCCTGTTTTCATTACCTAAATAAAATCGAAAATCATTCATCTCTATCATACATCCTTTCATATTTATTATATTTTACATACATTAAAAACCAATAAATAAAACAATCATTTTTATCTATAAGATTACTTGGTAGATCATCTAAATGCATAAAACTTCATCTATACAACTACTGAACTGATATTGTTCAAAAATTAAAATCTATAACCATTCAATAATTAAAAATCGGTAGAGTTATTTCTTTAATTTTTTTAGAAAGTAAATAACCAACAAAAAAGCAAACAGAAATAAAACCCAATTTTTTGTGATTAGAATTTTCTTATGCATAAAAAAATGTATCTTTAATATTTCAGGACATGACCCTGAAAAACAAAAAAAAAATTAAAATATTATAATTAATTCATATAAGTAGTCAGTTAGTTTTAAAAGAATAAAAATCTTATTAAATTGAATAAGAAATTTCATTTGAACAGATTTTAAACATGAAATAAATTTTAATATTAATTTTCTTTTTATTTATTAAAAAAGTTCAAGATGTTTACTTTATTTGTATAAACTACGTTTATTATTATTATTATTATTATTATTATTATTATTATTATTATTATTATTACTTTAAAGGTCATCTCTTTTTTAACCATACTGTTATCTAACTTATTCAAGCTCTTATTATTAACAATCGAATAATTATATATTTTGCAATATAGAACGATTCAGTAAATGATTTTATTACGTCTTAATTAAAAGTTGATTATATGTTTATTAGTTTTAATCGTTTTTTTTTGCCGAATGAACAACAATTTACAAACTTTATAAACAAAGATGGATAGTGGCTAGCATTGGATTTCAGGACGCGTGTTTCGTCCGATTTAGGACTCGTCAGCTGGATATATCTGCATCTCAGTGTTGATGTTCACTCTGGAACTCGAACTGAGTACCGTTCGCTTCAAACACCATCGCGTTATCCACTCACTTACTGAACCCTGATAGCCACTTGCTTGTGCAAACTATTATATTTGTATTGAAATAAGTAGGAAAAATAATTAAAATGGCGGTTTGACAGAATATTATGAGTTATAAGGCAATAAACAGATCATTAATGTAAACAAAATGCAAAGATAGATAACTGGTGTTCAATGTATTCAATAGATCTTTATACAGAAAGTACTAATTGAAAATATGTTTCTGACATGATCAAGCTTATAATTAAAGATGCATTACAGTAATAAAAATATTTTTATATAATTTTTATTTACCTCTGAAAAATAAACTGTCATATAGTTACTACTTTTCTCAGTTAGAAGTCAACTGTATAAAGTAAAACATAGAAATAAATAAGAAAAATGTTTTCCTAAATAAGCATCTTAAAAATAGTTTATCAATAAGTATAACATCAATTCAATTGGTCAACTTGAACTTACATCATATTAAACATAAATGATATTACATAGTTGAAATCATAAGTAAATTGAAGCTAGGCCACCATGGAAAACCTGGAAGAAGTGGACGGCCATTTTGTTCTATTGTGGAACTCCTCAGTAGTGCGCATTCACGCCCAATGAGATTTGAACCCAGGACACATCAGTCTCGCGTGCCTACACTTAACCATTAGACCATTGAGCCGGTCGGCATCCAACGGTTTTAATGTCTAACTTCAACCAATCCACGAAATTGAGCAGCCATTCATCATTGTCTTCAGTGAGTTGATATCTCTCAACAGACCTGGTTGAACTCCACTGGTTACTGCTATGATATGAGATTACAAGATAAATCAAAATATTTCATCAACTTCCATAAAATCTTACCACCAACAATATTCTGTAGTGATGTACTGGGATGATATGTGAAGAAAATTAAGAATATATTTTACACCTTGTAACTACTGTAAAGATAGAGGCTCTTGAGTAGATTTTTTTAAATAAAAAGGTAGAATTAAATGTTTGTTGGAAGATGTTTATTTTGATTATTTTATTTTTCAAAGCTGTACGTTCAAAATTAGAAAAAAAGATTTTAAAGTTTTTATGAAACACATAAAAGCCTGAATTATCTGCATGATCAATAACATATCCTTAGTTATGTAAACAGCCACTTCTTTTCTCTCTTACTTTGTTGATGTCTTTTTTTTCGATTTGTCCGATTGTATGTTATGCAAACTATTTATGTAATTATTGTTCCTTATTTTGTCTTTATAATATTTTGAATTGATTCTCATGTTTCCTAAAAATTAAACTTTCAGTCTCTTGATAAGAATAATACGTTTTGTATTCCCATATACTTTTCTGCTTTTGATAACATATTTCATGAACTTTGCCAATAAGAAGAATAGTATAGAGTATCTGATTCGACCAAGTTGACCTGCTTGAATATCTGGGCTACTTGTTTCTACCATCTGTATATTTCAAAAAATTATCTTTTTGTTTGTTTGTTTTAACACATCATTATGCTTATTAGTCTCATAACCTATTCAGGTGCTTTTGTGAAAAGTTGACAACATTTCAATGTACAAGTTACAAAATAGCCCAATCAGTGATATCATGGTTTCTGGGAATATCCATCGAAAATAATATAAAGTAATTTAGATGTTGATTGATTGGACTGCTAACATCTAATTGGCGAACATTCAATATTTATCACAAGGAACGATGAAGAAATGAAAAAAGAAAACTTGTTGAAATAATTTATGTTTAGAATTCTATACTGTACCTAAATATAATATTGAACAAAGCCAATAATATTAATATCATTGTTAAAAACGTTGTTTCTTGTTAATACATGTACAGCTATGAAAATAATCAGTTTGTTAAAGTGATATCTATATTGCTTCAAGCATAAATATAAATTATAAAACATGCAATAATTAATTAAAAATTTCCGAAACTCAATTCACATGATATCAATAGTTTTTTTCATAAAAGAAAGAAACATGAAACTGGCTCGATGGGGTATTCCCTGGAGTTCTAGTGAGAATCAGTAACCAGTGAAGTTCAACCAGGTCTGTTAAGAGATATCAACTCACTGAAGACATTGGTGAATGGTTGCTTAACTTCGTGGATTGATTGAAGTTAGACATTAAAACCGTTGGATGCCGACCGGCTCAGTAGTCTAATGGTTAAGTGCAGGCATGCGAGACTGATGTGTCCTGTGTTCGAATCTCGTTGGGGGGCTCATGAATGCGCACTACTGAGGAGTCTCACAATAGAACAAAATGACCGTCCACTTCTTCCAGGTTTTCCATGGTGGTCTAGCTTCAATTGACTAATGATTTCAACTATATAAAACATGAAACTATTGTGATATTTATTTAATCAAAAATTTAAAAATTTTTTTTCTTTAGCTCATATCAACTAATGAACAATTAATAAATTTCATACCAAATAAAATTAAAATAGAAAAATATTTTGGTTTATATTCAATATCAAGTTTACAAATAATAAATAATTTAACTCGTTTAATAAATACATGGATATTGATTGATTGGCCAGATGAACAAACGAAATATAATTATATTATTGAAATTGTTCAAGTATGTTTCTTTTTGTTTTGTTTTATTGTATCTATCCCGGTTATTTTTTCTCTATACAAAGTAATTTGCATAAAATTTATTTTTTTTTAAAATTTTATTTTAAGTGAAAATGAATAAATTTTGTTTTAATTAAATAAATGTATTTGGGAATTCTAAGTTATTATAGTGGATACAAGTAGAATATACGCATTTTAGAGTATTGTTAATTCATTAATGTTTTTATAGAAAAAAGAAACCTATTGATTAAAGTGTTTTAATTAAAAAAAATAATTTTATAGTTGAAATCATAAATCAACTAAAGATAGACCACCATGGAAATCCTGAAAGCACAGGAAGGCTGTGTTCATCCTATTGTGGGACTCCTTAGCAGTACGCATCCTGGAGTCCCAATGAAAAGCAATGACTAGTGAAGTTCAACTGGTCTATGGTGAGATAGTAACCACTGAAAACAATAGTGGACGATGGCTCGATTTCGTGGATTCATTGAAATTGTATAGAAACACCGTTGCATGCCGGCTCGCGCTCGCGCGCGACAATGACAGGTCCTGGTTTCGAATCTCATTGCACGGAATCGTGGATACGCACTGATGAGGAGTCCCACAATAGATCAAAACTACCGTCCAGTGCCTCCAGGTTTTCCATGGTGGTCTAACTTCAATTGACTCATGATTTCAACTATAAAATTACTAAAATCTCCACAAACCCTCATTCTGGAAAATAATTTTTTTATAGCATTTACTACTGATATGATAGATTGAGAATTATTAATAAGTAGGTTATTTTTATATGCTATTCTTGTTATTATTATTATTAATACATTGTATTTAGCCTTAAGAGTGTAGGTATTTATTGATTGACAATGAAAATTCATGCCTCATACTCTAATTAAACTTCCATGAAAATGATTATTTGGATCTTAGAAAAGTAATTATTTGCTGAACTATTGGCTATAAAGACGATCTTAAATCTATTAGCTTGTTCTTCTGTAGTTTTATCAACTTAAAAAAATGACAACAACGGTACTATCTCCAATCCTTTCAGAATATTTGAAAGAATCAAACTTAAAAATCTAAATATCTTTCGTGATTTTTCAACATAGCGTCTGAAATGCAAATACTATAATCTGTTTGTTGAGCTACCTATCAGTTTCTAATGATCATCTATTTCGTTTATAAAGTATGTGTAGAATTTTCTAAATTAAATGATTTAAATATTACAAAACATCGCTTTATTACATAACTAAAAAGATCTTGTTGACGAATCGGAAACAAAAGTCATTTGAATGCACAAAATAGTAATTGATAAGTGTTAGTTTTTAATACCATAGATCATTTATACATATAGTCAAATGAATAAATAAGCTAACACGAAAATCTACACGCAGGAAAAGCTGTAAAATGGAGTATTGATGCCAAAAAATCGTTTTCTAAATAATAATCATATAGGATGATGTTTATTTCACAATTCTTTCAACAATGTTTTATATGTGTAAAGGATCTTTTAATCTACTTTAACATTATGATATTTTAAGTTCCTTATATTAATCACTTGGTACTCTTTATGTGGATAGTTTTCAGATGATTACAAAACAGATGAAACCTGATCATTCTTTCAAGTATGACGTAATTCAACGGAATTTTGAAACATCATTGGCTGATGTATTTTCACATATAAGGAGTTTTTCAAAAAATGTGTTTACCAATTCTCTAGTGTACATTTCGTCATACATATTTGTATTTTACGTGTTTGTTATATAATTCAGAAACAGTATTAGTCAGATAAGCAATTCAAAGCTTATCATTGTTACTAGCGTTTATCGAGATAATAACGTAGTTCTACAAACCGTAATAAACTGAATTATGTATACCTTTTCTATTTTGTTGTTCATGATAAATAAAAGTCAGATTACCATTAACTTTATGAAAAATGATTCTGAACTTAAAAATGGAGTTCTCAAGTGTGATGATGTTAAATAAAGCTTTAAATTCTAGACGTCTGTGTACTAAAGCTAATGCATTCTAAAAACTCGTACATTGTGTTTTATAGTCGGACTACTAATATATATATAAGTAGCTACACTTGCATTACCAAAAACCTAAGCAATTTAAAATTCAATCTATTTGACCTTATTTTAGATTGCTTGTGAAGTTACTTTATCATATGCAAAACAGTTACATGAAAAATTACGTCTACAAGGATATTGTGATGAAGAAGGGCAATTTGATATATCAAACTCAGTAAGTTATCATCTACTATTTTCAAAGCACATTTTATCACGGTGATTTTTTTAAATTTTATGCTAAAATGTTCTACATCAGTGTTTTGTTTAATTCTCTTTGATCAATAGTTAAGTGCACAAGGATCTTCACATATTTTAGACTGTCTGGTGTGTAAAACAACGTTATAACTCATTCTCGAATTGTTATACATTATAATCATACACTCTATATTAAATTTTTGGAAACTAAACAAATAAATTTGTAGAACCAGCTTTCGTATCATGATTCCAATGACCGTTATTTCAATAAGACGCTAATTGGTCACAATGAAAACTTTTATACGTATCTCTGAAGTGAACTACTGTTTTCCATTTGACTATCATTGAGTTCCTGTTTTTTTCTGTTTCTGAATGTTTGATTTTTAGAGAGGATAGGTTTGATGATACTTAAATTACATCATTTCCTTACTGAATAGTTATTTGTTTTTATTTTTAGTACTGGTTAACTAAAGAAATATTTAGTCAGCTTTAAATTTTAAGGAGACAATGGTGGTCAGAAATATTTATAAATAAAGAATGAGGCTGAATGAATAAAAAAGAACTTTTGGGCAATAAATGCAGTTGAAAAACCTTATTAAACTACAAAGACATTTGTCAGAGGAGGATGCATGATAATAACTATACGGTTCCTAAAACAGTTATGACTGATTGCATGCATACGTTTCAGAAATAAATGAATTTCAATTAATTTCATTGACATTTTTACCGTATATTGCTTGCTACTTTTATTACCCTTTCGCATATCATTATAGCTGTCTATTGGATTGAACAATTTGGAATTAATTTCAAAATTTATTCAATGGATTCTACTATTTTTAAATATACAAACTCCTTGGTCGTCTAATAATAAACATGTTCTTTCCAGTATTTCTAATACTAACGACACCAGTAGTAATCTTTGTGGTACTACCACTGGTAAAAGTAACAATACTAAAAGTAATGATAATAATAATAGCAGGGCTACTGATAACACAAATGCAACCGCTAAGTCGATCGATGATGAAGAAATGAAAATTCCTTATCAACATTTAGAAACTTTAAAGCGTCTTCAACATAAAGGTTATGGTGAACTTATTCGTGTATTGAATCGAACAATCTACCGTATGAACGCTAAAGTAAGTATTCAAATAAATATATATTACTAAATTTATCCTTGATAAGTTCTACCTCGAGTGAGTTGGACTTTGTTTAAAAAAAGCATTCATATATGCATTTTAACTAATACAGTTTGTAGTATTTAGTTAACAATGATTATAAGCAAAGTTGGATAGTGGTTAGCAGTGCAATTCAGTTATTGAAATGTCAATCTGCGATGAAGATCACGAACTTTAATTTTTAAAAACGCTTATATGAAAGTGTCTTTTTGAGTTTATTCCCTAAATATATAACCAAGTTATTTAAAAAAACTCTAGAGTAAGCTAAACTTTTATATTACTGACCTCTATAAACACAAAAACATATATTTCCCCTTATGATTTATCTATAATAATAATTATTATTATTCGTTGCCAATATGTAACAGATCAACGTTAACTAAATTATAATCTTTTCCCATGCTAAGTAATTACGGAATCTTCAATTGTTTTCTAACGTTTCCAGTTTAAAACCATATGAAAATCAAGACTATTCAATATTTTAATGTAAACATTTTTTTCAAAGAATTTATATTGTACGTAATACATATGTGAACTACATTAATGCACAAACCATTGCTTTAATTTCGTTTACCTCAAAAATTTACAGAATACATGCATCAACCCCTAATAGTCGTTTTTCACTGTGATCATTCAAAACAATGTTACATGAACAAAAGGGAGTTTTGTGAAGATTTTAGCGCACTGCTGAGGAGTTCCACAATAGGACGAATCGGCTGTCCAGTGCTTACAGGTTTCCCATGGTAGTCTAGCCTCAATCGACTCATGATCTTAACTATATAAAATGTTACATGACTTTAAAGTTCAAGTGTTCCTTTCTAAATTACTGTAACTTTTATCAGTAACATTTATATAGTAATCATTTACATTTTCACTTTTTCTTTACATAATCAATTAAAGTTATAAAATGAGCATTATTTATTGCTTTATATTCGTTTATTTATTTATAAGATGAGACCAGAAATCAGAAAAAATGTCTTTCATTTATGTTGGAGTCTACGATCAACTCCTGTTGATAAGGTGAGTAACTTCAAAGCATCAATAATTTAGAATGATTATATCACATTTTCTTTGATAGATAAATAGTTGTACAGAAATCATAACTAACTATCCATTTAATATTTGAATATTTTTCATTTATTAATTCATAAACGTATACATGTTGTCTAGCCAGTAATCGGGTATTCATTAATGTCACAATACTTAGGTATAAGTACTGACCATATTCTATTGATTACTATTAAGTTTCAATAATTGTTCTAGATAATCTGATGTCATCATCAAAATCAAAGGATGTCGAATGATTGAAAGCAGTCTGCAATCACTTTTGGTTGTTGGGTTTGCACCACTAGAAACCTATCAATTAGTTATGCCAAGAACTTACAAAAAATGGATGTTTTCCAATAAATTTAGACCTTCAATCAAAGTTACCTTCGTCGATGGCTGAATAATGAGATCAAACCTCATAAGAAAGGAGACATACCTAATAAATTAGTCTTGATTGTTCGAAACCTAGTTCGTAAGCTAGAAATCGGTCATAAAAGTAGAAAAATGTATTATCGTAGGAAGGAAGAGGTGACAGCGCATCTTTTTTGAATACCTGACTTGTAACTTATAAGTATCTTGGTGTCTTAATGCACATCCTAGCACTCGACTTCAGGATTACACTGGCAGCTATTATAGTGAGAATATAGAATTTCATCAGTCTATATACTAAAATTCAATCAGTCACTTGGTTGGAATTTAATCTAGCAAAATAGTCAAGAACACAAAGATTCATAAATATAAAACTTTATGAACACGACTAGATATAAATGAGGTTAATGGAACTGACTAGTTTAGATACCGTGATATAACTTAAAACAGCCTATCTCTACGTAAAGTAGACTTTGATGTAGTTGTCAAAAGCAAAATTGTAAGCCATGAAGTTAAACCCTTTGGCTCTAAGAACATAATAACTTTTTAATAATGACAATTTGAGCAGTACTAACGCTATTTACCATAATACATTTGGTTGGATATATAATGCATGTGATTATATATATCTGATTACATTATTACATTAATCGGTACAACTTTTATGTAGGCCATGCATGATTTAATCGTTTATTTGGACTCAAATATGCGGACATTAAAAACCAATGTGTCTAGTAATTTATTACATCGTTGTATACTATCAATATGGCACGAATGTCTTGAACAGTATATGGAACAGACAATTAAAGAAGGTGAAATTAATTCAACTAATGTTGGTGGTCCTGGTGCATTTCTACAAATTAAATCAAATTTTAATGCAGATAATAACAGTCCAACAATTATTCCATTATCTACACATGAAATGCATGAATTAATATCTAATTTACCTATGGAAATAGATAAAAATCAAATTTTTCGAGCTAAATCTACATTGGAAAGATTAAAAAAGTCTTTAGGTATACTACTTGAATTTTTCTTAAAAAATGGTGATGATCAAATAAGTAAAGGAAGCTTAGAAACAGAAGAATATAATGTAAGTTCATAAATAATTAACTTTGAATAGACAATCACTTTCACTTATAATTTTATTAATTAAGACTAAACACATTGTCTCATTTAACCAACATTCATACAACACACTTGTTCGTTATACTATGGAAATACCATACACATTACCATTACGTTAAAATCTATCGTTGATTTCATGCATGAAAATTGTCTTGTTACAACTAGACCATGGTATTGTAGAAATAGTACTATGATCGTTTACATTTGTAGTGTCGGTTGGATTGTTAAGCCCATATACCTTATTCTGGCTTCTGAACAAGCTGATTTACCTATCCACAATGAGTCACCTTTTGGCCTTGTTAATTATTCAATTATCAACCCTGGCTGTTTTTATATGAGTGTATGTTTGTGTACACCTTTTATCTTATTCATCACATGTTTGTAACTTATTTTTATCTGGCTATAAATATTGATTAACGCTTGATTAAAGCGAGTTGGCTTAACCGCCATCTCCAATGCGTGTCCTTTTTGTTTCGCTCTCTCCTATTCGCTTCATCCCTCTGATTTCATGTTCAGATCAATGAGTGTACAAAATATATGTATTCAAAATCCATTCTCGTATTTGACTTATTTAACTCCGTTCTTCATCAACGCGGATTAAGTCATGTATTATATACGAGGATAGACAGGATGTATATTTTGACAATCAACCATATATATGATCTAAATGGAGTCAGATCTTGGCCCCCTACACATTCATCACCTATATATTTTTACATTCGCTCTGTTTTACAGAGTTTATACATCAGTAGGGTGAAAATGTAAATTATTTTTTTTTAAATTTAAAAGGTAATTAATTATCAATGCTCACTAGTGACTGACTTCAAGATACATGTCCTGGAGTTCTAGTGGAAAGCAGTGACCAGTGGAGTTCAACCACGTCTGTTGTGAGATAGGAACTCACTGAAGACAATTGGTGAATGGTTGCTCAACTTCGTGGATCAGTTGAAGTTAGACATTAACACCGTTGGATGCCAGCTCAGTGGTCTATCGGTTAAGGGCTTCGGCTTGAGACTGGTAGGTCCTGGGTTCGAATCTAGCTAGGGCGGGTTCGTGGGTGCGCACTGCTGAGGAATCCTATAATAGAACGAAACGGCCGTTCAGTGTTTCCAGGTTTTCGATGGTGGTCTAGCTTCAATTGACTCATGATTTCAACTTTGAAAAATACTGAAATCTCCACAAATCCTCTTCTGATTATAATTATCAATTGTTGTGAAGTTATCTTATTGTACCAGTTCTATCTATATTGGTTCGATTTTAGGTAGAACAGGATTTTACTCATGAAAATTAAGCACTAGGCATTATATTGAATGATTTTATTTATTTATTTAAACACATAAATATTGGTACATTGAAGCATCAGATACATATGCGCCGCACAAATCACATTTGATTTGTGTGGGGGCTGTGATACTGCCCATGTGCCCAAACTGAAGCACGTGGTTTTCTTGGGGGGCAACACCCGGAGCCTTTAACCTAAAGGTCTGGTCCACAAGCCAGTGGAGCATCGTGAGGAGATACAGTCACATGGTAGCCGGTGACCAACGATTGATTCATACGCCATTTGTTCCCTCAGGATACTGGAGCCCATGTGCACCATTGGTTTGGAATCAGGGTTTCTCAACTCCCCTAGGTGGACTCGCCGTGTCCATCAACCGGTTAAAGCACCGGACATTCTCTTTTCGCCCTCTCAATTTTGCAAACAACAGTAATGCCCTGTGAAGGCAATGAGTAGGAATTCCCTGGCAGAGGCTAAATATATTGAATATATTTAATGAATTACGAAATGAAATAAATCTGAATTTAAAAATTTTGGTTTTATCATGCTTTTTAGTCAAATCACTGTTTCTATATCTAATAAATTTTAATTCAACAGATTGATAGAGGTATATTAAAAAAAACTTGCAAATTATATTTGATCATTTCTAACAGCATTCAACTAATATTAGATGTACTCGTCAAAACTTTAAAAAAGAGGATTTTCGATATTGTGATCAAGATAACCAACAACCATAAGATATTTCTGGATGTTATCGATTCATCAGATAGTATTGAATTACGTTTGCTTTATATACCTGAACTCTTGAAAAACAAATTTCATATGGTGTTAATAAGAAACCATAGAATTCATCATTGTAGTTTAGTGTAGGATTTCATGTAAGCTGTTGAGGATGCCGTTTATTGCTCTAAGGTCTATGACTGTTAGCACAATATCACAATGTATTATATCAAGTAAAAGCCTGAAATACTTGGGACGTTCCCTTTTCATGTAGCTAGTTTGTATCTGGTTATACTTTAGAAAATCTAATGGCGTTATTTTTAATTCAGCTAATATCCTAGACGATCCAGTGTTTCAAGAAGACAATATATGATGTCTTTTGGATCATAGAAACAGACAGGCGATTAATATCTTCATGTTAGTATCAGGTTTTGCATTGAAAAGTATTTAAAAACAAAAAAGACAGTTTTAAGTCTGGTTGTTGGTTAGCTAAAAAATATTGAGACGGAAATGAAGATGATCTAAGACGTAGTATCATTTAGCAAGTCACGTGTTGTGCTTTTTAATGGGCAAGCTTTGAATGTTACTTACGACCAGCTTTATTTTCATGGTTGCTAGTAACAGCTTAAGTAATGCATGAGTATATATCCATAATTGTACCACGGAATGATGAAAATTCGAATTCCTGGTCTATTGTACACGTCGATATATATATATATATATATATATAATCTTGAATACGAAGTTTAGTATGTCTAGGTCCATTGTTTTCTGTCTATTGAATATCCCATCTAACGCCTCATTAAGTAACTTTAGAACTTTAGCACATTAGCTTTCGATGGTATGGGGGAGTTACCTTCAACACATTCAAGCCAATCACTGCCTTCGATGAACTCCAGAAATTTATGCATCTTCGTTTTTCATTTCCTAATTGATGATCATACAAGATTAATTATCTTAACATATAATCAAGAATAATTAAAACCTTATAAAATAACTTGTTGTTATATAAATAACCTTCTTTTTCGGGATCTAAACAAATTTAGAATTGAAACTTTATCTGCATTATAAACTTGTTACCTCTTCATTCAAGATTTGTGAGGCCGCTGAAGTTTGTTTTCAGAGTTTTAACTCATTCAGTACTCATATAAGATACTTACGTAATAGACTAAGCTAGTCTTTTAACTCGAAATAAAATAATTATCTTATTGACTTCCGTACAATTTAGACAATGTCATGAAGTAAATTAAAGTATCTTGACTAGATAAAACAGAAGTTAGTAAACCTAATACGAAACAAGTTTTTATTCGATGTCATTCAGAAGGGATCAGATCATGATTAACACGAATCAAAACTAAAAATAGCCTTAAAATGAACAACATTCGCTGCAAAGCTGGTTTTATCATACACAGCTCTACACTCCATAGCATAAACAAAAGTAAACATATATAGATATCAGGTCACACCCAACTAGGTATGTCAGTTTACATACACATACTAAAGCGTGTACATCGGAAAGATGAAAAGACAGGCAGCTACTCGTTTTACTTATCATATACCCAGAAAACTAAGTCTCTGGGGATTAAAAAGCCTAAGTAATTTGACAGCATATCCATTAGCTAGTAGAAGCTGGTTTATCCTCTCCCATAAAACGCTGTTGCTGATAGTATCCGGCCAATGGATGTTGAGTATTTTGCGTAGACAACTGTTTATAAATACTTGTACCTTCCTGATGATGGTAGTAGTAGTTCTCCACGTTTCAGCTCCATACAGTAGGACTGTCTTGACGTTCGTATTAAAGATTCTGACCTTGAAATTGGTTGAGAGTTGTTTTGAGTTCCATATGTTCTTCAATTGTAGAAATGCTGCCCTTGCTTTGCCAATCCTCGCCTTTACATCTGCATCCGATCCTCCTTCTTTATCAACGATGCTCCCCAGGTACTTGAATGTTTCCACCTCTTCCAGAGTTTCGCCGTCAAGTGTGATTGGGTTGGTGTTCTCCGTGTTGCATTTGAGAATCTTGCTTTTTCCTTTGTGAATGTGGAGGCCTATCGATGCGGAGGCTGCTGCTACATTTGCTGTCTTCATCTGCATTTGGTCGTGTGTATGAGAGAGGAGGGCTAGGTTATCTGCGAAGTCCAAATCATCTAATTGATTCTGAGAAGTCCATTGTATTCCGTATTTCCTTTCAGATGTCGAATTCTTCATAATCCAGTCAATCACTAGAAGGAAGAGGAATGGGGAGAGTAGACAGCCTTGTCTGAATCCGGTCCTTACTGGAAATGCATCTGTCAGCTGTCCTCCATGCACCACTTTGCACTGTAGTCCATCGTATGAGTTTTGGATAATGTTGACAATCTTTTCAGGAACTCCATAGTGTCGAAGAAGTTTCCATAATGTTCTCCTGTCCACGCTGTCAAAAGCCTTTTCAAAATCAATGAAGTTGATGTATAGTGATGAGTTCCACTCAACTGATTGTTCAACGATGATCCGTAGTGTCGCAATCTGGTCTGTGCACGACCGATCCTTACCGAATCCAGCCTAATGATCCCTAAGTTCGGCGTCTACTGCGTCTTTCATCCGATTCAGCAGCACTCTGTTGAAAACTTTTCCTGGTACTGATAACAAACTGATGCCTCTGTAGTTCTCACATTGGCTCAGATCTCCTTTCTTTGGTATCTTGATGAGATATCCTTCTTTCCAGTCCGTTGGCACTTGTTCCTCTTCCCAAATCTTCTTGAATAGAAGATGAAGCATGTTTGCAGTTATTTCAATGTCTGACTTCAAAGCATCAGCTGGTATGTTGTCAGGTCCTGCCGCCTTCCCATTTTGGATTTGTCTGATGGCCATCTTGACTTCTTCGATCGTCGGTGGAGTGACATCTATTGGAAGGTCAGTGTGGGCTGCTTCGGTGTTCGGTGGATTCAATGGGGCTGGTCTATTCAGCAGTTCCTCGAAGTATTCTACCCATCTTTTCCTCTGTTCTTGAATCTCAGTGATTGTCTTTCCTTCTTTGTCCTTGACTGGTCTCTCTGGTTTGCTATATCTCCCTGCCAATCTCTTCGTTGTATCATATAGTTGTTTCATATTCCCTTCTCTTGCAGCTTTTTCGGCCGCCGTTGCTAGTTCTCCCATATATTTCTGCTTGTCGGCCTTAATGCTTTTCTTCACTTCCCTGTTTGCTTCTGCGTAGTCTGCTTGTGCTTTGACTTTCTCTGCTCGTGTTCGGCTGTTGTTAATTGCTAGTTTCTTGTTCTTCCTTTCTTGAATTTTGTCCAGGGTTCCCATAGAGATCCATTCCTTGTGATGATGCTTCTTAGGACCAAGAACCTGCTGACACGTTGAAGTTAGTGCTTCTTTTATCCCTTTCCAGTTGTCCTCCAAAGTAGTTTCTTGTTCTTTCAGTAGATCCTGTAGAGCCTGGAACCTGTTGTTGAAAGTTATCTTGAATTCATGGAGCTTGTCAGTATCTTGAAGGAAGGCTGTATTAAACCTTTGTAGTGCTGTTTGTCCAGTTGTCCAGTGTTTCTTTAGCTTCAGTCTCATCTTGGCCACAACCAGGTGGTGATCTGAAGCTATGTCATCTCCTCTCCGGGTTCTCACATCTTCCATTGATCTTCGGAATTTTTTGTTGATACAGATGTGATCTATCTGGTTCACTGTGTTGTGGTCCGGCGAGATCCATGTAGCTTTGTGTATGCGTTTGTGTGGGAATATAACCAATTTGTTGAAAGCACATAGGTTTGCAAGTCTCTCCCCATTTTCATTTCTCTCTCCTAGTCCATGTCGTCCAATTATATCTTCATGTCCTGTATTGTCCACTCCAACTTTAGCATTTAGATCTCCCATCAGGATGGTGAGGTCCTTTCGTGAGCACTTCGCTGTAATTGATTGCAGCCTTTCATAGAACTGATCTTTATCATCGTCGTTGCTATCATTGGTGGGTGCATAACATTGGATAATGTTCATTGTGATCCCTTGCTTCTTTGTTCTGAATGATGCTTTGATTATCCTGGGTCCATGAGATTCCCATCCCACAAGTGCATTTCGTGCTTCTTTGGACAGCATTAGAGCAACTCCCTGAGTGTGTGGAGCATTTTCCCCTTCGTGACCGGAGTACAGCAGCATCTTTCCCGTACCTAGCCTTTGTTGTCCAGTTTGTGTTCAATGGGTTTCGCTGATTCCGAGTGCTGCCAAGTTGTATCTCCTCATTTCCATTGCTATTCGGCTGGTCTTTCCTGTCTCCCACATTGTACGGACGTTCCATGTACCTATAAAGTGTTGCTCTGGTTGTTAGAAGGTGCATCGGCCTCATGACTTCTGAAGGAACTCGGCTTTCATCATGAGACGTCATAATTATTCCTTCAACTCCCAGGACAGAATTTAAATGGTTTGAATTATTTTTTCTGGTTAGCGTTTTTTTAGCGAGTTAACTTTTCTACGGGATGGGGTCGCTAACCCCATACCCAACCCTCCTCCTTTACCCGGGCTTGGGACCGGCAGTAATTCGAAAAGCTACAGGCGGAGTTTATCTTAATTAGATTATATTAAAAACCAGGAAAGATTGGACAGTTGTTTAGTCTTAGAATGGGGCTCTCCAGCAGTTCATATTCATGACCCTATCGCTGTGGACCGAACCTGGGACCTTTGCTCTAGTATATGTGAAAGCTTAACTTTTAAACAATCATCAGGTAAGGAAAGATGGTCGTATTGTATAGTGAATACATTGAAGGTGGACGTGTGCATCATTGAATGCCAGCCAAATAGTCTGGAGGTTATGTGTCCATACTAGAGAGAAGGTCTTGGGTTTTATCCAGAGCAGTGAGATCGTGACTGTCCTCTGCTGAAGAGTCAGTCCCATACTAAAGTTGGTGTCTAGTGCTTTCCGCTTTTAACCGGCGGTTTAACCATGATCACTTCGTGATTTGAAATATATTCTTTGCTTCTTAAAATCGCTCAAAAAACATAATCCATGCTGTAGTTTCTTTCCTTTGGTACAATAAAAGGTAATAAACATCTCATCAGATCCTCAAATTTGTCTAATTGTTTGAATCTATTGCAAAAATGACAAACGTTACGATTATTGAGGAAAAAAACAATTTACTTGAATATTGTAGCATGCAAGCTTTTTTGTCTCTTAAGGAAAAATAAATGAATTTCATACATAATTCAATATTTATAGCTAAATACTACCTTGAAAGTAACGTTATTTTTAACTGAATGGTCAAACAACGGTATACTGTTTCATTTGCCATACAATGGAGAAAATAAGGAGAAAACTCTGAACTGTGACTCATTGACTTCAGAACTTAGTTTCACTGCTGACCTGTCAATCAACATATTTTTGTAATTAGGAAATCTGTATTATATTCATCTCTTGAACTACAAATATACAAAATAGCTTAATCGGGGATCTTGTAAATATATAATCTCTTTTATTAAAATATTCATACAATACAATATGATCATATCTTTAAACATTAGCAGTAATTATTATTGGAAGATATTGTATTTTCGTTCGTTTGTTTGTTTTTGTTCTTCAGAATGTACAATATCTGATCCAATTATATAACAGTAGTACACCAGAAGTGATTGAACAATATTTTATTGAAAAACTTAATGAACAAGTAAGCTAACATTTGACTATAAATACCTGGCTTCTATTGATGTAGCAAATATTATGCTAACTTCGTTTAGTCCTTTTTTAAAAAAAAATGTTATTCTTATCGATAGACTGTCAGTTTAATTGAGAATGGATTTCAGTAAAGGAAATATGTTTTAGACTATTTTCATACTCTTTAGCTGTTTTGAAGTATCTTACAAGGCTTTGCCACATCAGTGTGTATCTATAAATTTACTTGCTTATGTGGGGCACGTTACATAGGCTGCACAAAGTGATCACTTTCCAAACGCATCTCGGAACACTATCCGGTTTGGCTCCTAAAAGGAGAATGTAAAAAGATAACTAGTTCGGTACAAGAGCATTTAATTAACTGTGGACACACCGCTCCAAAAGACTCCTCTTTTAAAGTAATCTATGCAGTCAAACGAACCGGATCGAAGGGGGGGTCGAATCAATATTTTATGCACTGCTGAGGCATTGGAAATCCATGAACTCATGCCTGAACTTTGCGTACAGAAACGATTTGTCTAACCTCTCACCCTTTCTTGGCCATAATACCCTTAATGGGTATGTTTCTGGTTGTCAGTTTTTTCTTCTTTTCTTTTCTGCACTTTTATTTGATTATTATCGGTTTTTTGTTTTTTTAAATTACTGTTTTACATTTCAAACTCTAATCCGTTATTATTATTATCGTTACCTTATAAAAGTTTTCTTGATTATTATTTAACCTTTGTCGCTTTTCTTCATATCTGTCAATTAGACTATTATCTGACCCATAAATTATTTTCTTTCTTACTCCTTGATTGGTACGCAACCTCATTTGTTATTAATTATCGAATCCATCTATAATGCAATCTTTCCTAGCCTCCTGTAGACATATATTTTCAATATAACTATATATACGAATGTACAGCTTATATATATATATATATATATATATATATATATATCATTTTAAAAGACTATCTCAGTGGTTTTTATATCTAACGTTATGCAGTTTTGTCACAAAATTATCATGGTGTCAAAACACTTATTTGAGAGCCGATTCTCCGGAAAAGTTGCAATAAACAGTATCACTGAATGGGATTCTCAGTTATTATTAGATCCGAAGATTTTGTAACCGACTTAACATATATCAATATGTTACTAGTTTGAATGAATGAACATTTGAAAGAACACCTGTACATTAAAAAACGGCGCCGGCGATACTGTAGCTTCAGATCTCAGATACTGTGTTATCCACCATCCGACAGTGCAAAAAAATTTCCAGGAAACTGGAATATTTTCCTCTGCTTACAGTCTGTAATGGTAAATTGACACTAACCACTTTCCGTAGAAAATTTGATTTACCAGTGCCAGTCCTTCCAGATAAAATAAGGTTAAAACGGTTTTCATCTTTTGAAGTTATTTTTTCATCATGGATCGACATTAGCTAGAGAATCAAAGAAAAACCTGAACCCTGGATAGTTGTTTTTTAGCTTATAAATCTTTATCATTCTGTATTGCATATGTTATCACTGATCTTACTACACTCGGACCATGACGGAAATAAATTCGTTTAGAAAAACGTCAAAATTCTTCTTCAAGGTAATCCTTAAACAGTCGGAAAAATGTTTGGTGTATAACTTCCAGATTAATTGGCAGTCAATGAACACATCCACATTGAACTAATCTATCAACGGATACGTTAAGTTTCTGTTAGTCAAATGATTAAAGGTCAACCACGCAAAACAGTACGTTTGATCAGAAGAGAAAATAAAGTCAAAAAAACTTTTGAAGGCATACAATCACAAATAGGACCACTATAAACATTGAATTTCGCGCTTGTAGATTCTTGAATAATGCACATGAAATGAGTACACAATGTATCGACTAATCAAACTGATGTCACTCAATTACCTTTTTAACTAGGAATTCAAAGTTGAAATATTTAAAGTTAAACTACTTCAAAACTTATTTTAATAATTAAATGAAGATTAATGACTCTAAAACATCCTTTTACAGAATTTTTCTTAAATTCATCCAAAAATGTAGTATTCTATACATTGCTTAAACTGTAAACAACAATTGAAGTAGTGTGAGACTTTTTTTAATGATCTTGACGTCTTCCCAGCATGAATCACTATATTTCTTTATTATATGCAAATTAGTAAAGAGTATTTTTCGATTAATCAATTGAAATAAGAAGTGAAGAATATTGATATCGTCAAAAGAAGCTTTTACAGAATTCGAATGAATCATCAAAATGAAGACGTTATATTAAAGAAAATCTTTTCAATGGTCTCATTTCCTCAAACTGTACTAGTGCATTTACAGTAATTTTTCATTCACAGCGGTTTGTGATGAAATAGAGAACTTATATGTCATTAACAGAGGTACTAAAAATCGGTCGAAATTTAAAGTTGCGTAATAATCAGAGAGTAATAATTTTTGAAATCAGAAATTGCCCTCTTGACAATGATACAGAATACGAACAAAGCAATGTCAAAAACAATTTACAAAATAAGATATTGAATAATGATGTGAAAGGTACTTGTCCATGTGATAAATACTAGAAAGAAAGAAGAGGAAAAACAGGTGACAAAGAATATCAGATTAACAAAGTGACTGTCAGGATCATCATAAACCAAGGATTTCAACAAATTGCTTCTGAACACGAAAGTCAGGTTCAAAAGGAAAAATATCAAAGTTTATTCCATTTACCAGCCTTCATTAGAACCAGTCCCTCTCATTGTATGAATAATGTCAGAAAAAGATCCTGGTGGGAGTTAATAAACAGGATTACCTAGATCCACAACAACAGAGCTGCTTACTGATTTTCATCCACCTTTCGATGACGAAACTGGATAGTGTTCAAAATATACTTCGGGAAAGAGAATACATTGTCAGGCCAATATAGCATTCTCCACGAGAGCAAGGTACTAAAAAATTATTTACTCTTTATTCTCTATGTACAGACAATGTTATTTATTGTAGTAAGGAATGAAAATATCGGTTATTAGCTGATCCAACAAGATTTCTTCCTGTTTAAAAACAGTCTTCCCAATAACATGTATCACATATGAGTTTTTACTGCCAAGTCTTAATGAGAGATATACTTGTTGTATCAAAATGAACATCATATAAACTTTAATTTTTGCAAGAACCTTTCGTTCAAGTTATCTTGAATCATTTTTGAAGGGTATTTAAAGGTGAGGTAGCTTAGTACGAAATTATTCGAGCTTACGGTGTTAATTTGTTGCACGCTATTTACTGCATCAAGAGTTGATATATAGGCAATAAAACCTTACAATTTATCGATTCACTTCAGCTACTGAAAGTTTTGGTCGGATATCTTCCCTAGGTTTTTATATAATATCAACATATAGGCAAAATTAATTTTCAGATGATTGGTAAGTTCACTGGATATTGTTCTCATCCTTTAGCTCCGTTCAATTTAATACTGTTTGTTATCAGTAACTTAACACTCATATACATTGATTATTTTAGGAATTAGCCAGTTCTTCTTCATATGGTAAATTGACAGTAAAGATTGGTTATCAACGAACATCATTATATGTAGATATACAACGAGCTACAAACCTTGTACCACTTGACTCAAACGGTAAATTAAATTATTTAATTTTTGTAGTATAATTTAACCTACTCTTTTAAATGCATTTTGTCAGCATTTACTAAATTAGCTGACAATTCCCCATAGTGCAGCATAGTGTGTTTTCTTACTTTTCTATAAATAATGAATATTTTGCTTTTCTCAGTAGTTTTAATTCATGAACTAGTCCTGGTTTAACCATAATATGATAGTATATGAAAGTTAATTGTTATATATAATTTTCATATTTTATCAAAGTTATTTGTGCTGAACTACTTTACTTTCACTTCTGTATAGGTACTTAACTCGGAATAAATAAATGAAGTCTTTGGTTGAGACGATGAGACGATCGATATTAGACTACCATTGAAAAACTGGAAGCACTGAACAGCCTTCTCGTCCTAGTATGAGACTCTTCAGCAGTGCGCGTCCACGAATCTGCATGTGGGATTTGAACCCAAGACCCTCAGTCTCACGCGCTTAGCCTTCAGACCACTGAGCCGGTATCCAACGGTGTTGGTGTCTAGCTTCAACCAATCCGCGATCTCAATCATAAACTTAACAATCTCCACAACCCCCTTACTGATAAAATGAAGTTTCTCCGAACACTGTGATATTGATTGCTTTCATTTATTAGTCGGAATTTGTAGCATAAAAGACTTCCTAAATGGGATCAGAATATTCAGTAACTTTAATTATCTAACAACTAATTCACAGTTAGACCACCTGAAAACAAACTCATATCTGATTACTAATGCCGGCTGAAATTTGCTATTATGTTGTATTAAACCGATGAATAGTTGCATGGATTAGGCGATAGTATATGATTTTGAGGTATGTTTAAATGAAAATACTTGTTCAATGAAATGACTATTATAAAAACTCATATGTTGAATTAAAAAAATCTGTATCTAGAAGCTGTTTTATGTAAATTTTTCTCACTTGAGAAAACATTTAATTCATGGACAGAGATTGAACATTTTAAAATAGTTTACCATGTCATGTCATTATATCAGGTTTATTTTCTCATTGTTGATGTTAGAAACTATAATACAAATAAAACTTTAACATTTGCACAAGTCAGCAGCTATTTGAACTTAAAAGTTCAGTGGATTACACGATGATGTTTGAAGTGAAAGGCATTGAGTTTGAGTTATGGTGTAGAAAACAATACTGTAATGTAGACACATTTTGCTGACAAGTCTCAAATAAGCAAACATGTTCATTTCCCATTCCACTGTTATCCATTATCCAACTTTATTATCTCTGAATTACAGGAAATTCGACAGTTTTTATGTTTCATCTTCGTTACATTTCTCTTTTTGAATAAAAAATATGTGTTATTAAATCATCATTTATTTTAAAAGGTTTATCAGACCCATTCATAATTGTCGAATTACTACCTAAACATATATTTTTGGAAACTCCAAAATCATCACGAACAAGAATTGTCAAGAATACAGTTGATCCTGTGTTTGATGAACATTTTGAATTGTAAGTACATCATTATAACTAATGGAATCTCTCAGGGTTTTTTTCAAAACAAAAATAAATAGTACATTTTAATTTTGTATCATTTATTAATTCACTATGAATATCATTCCATTAGTCGAATATTGATTCATAGCTAAACGATGAGTATTTGAAACAGTACAAGTTAAGATGTATCAGATTCTATAAAAGACCGATAGGTCGGTGATAGTATAGTGGATGCTACTCTCAATGGTATTTGTGAACACTGTGTAGCGGAACGTGGTGTCGAAATTACAACAATAGTCGGAGAGACTGAAAAATTTCAGTGCATCAAAAGCAAGACGTTGACAGAACACTTGGAGGCCAGCCGAGAAAACATTTCAGATTGAAGAACGCACTAAAAGATGAAAATAGAAGATTGAAGGCTATGCAAATTCTTTGTAACTCCCCGAAATAAGTATATATACGTCCTCCCTACTGTCGTAATTTAGTGTTTTGAAAATATATAATTAACATTTTTAGAGACTGAACTTTACCGGGTTTTTATTTTTGGCTATGATGGTACGTTGTAATGCATTAAATTCCTTCTTGTGATTAAGTAATATTTGGCATTTATCCATTCAGATGTGTTTCTCTTAAAAATCTTAGTGAAGATTATTGATTTTAAATTACGATTTATTATCGATATGGTGTAATTTCTAATTTACTTCTGAGAACAAAAGTCTGGCCAACCTAGTGGACACAACAGATAAAGTTTCAATCACCAAAATTCAGTTTATTTTCAAATTATTTCGTTAAAAATCTATGAATACATAATGTAACCTGAGGTTATAAAGTATCAAATGGTACTCTATAACTTATCGAAATGTTAAATCAATTCACTTTGATAAAAATATACTATAAGTAATCAATATTCATGTAACCGTGATTTCTATGGAATATAATCATATCCTACTTGGAAGAAAGCACAATCAAATAAAGACTGTATAAGGGAGAATCAGTTAAGTGAATGTGATAATTATTCCACATAGTTTTGCTTATGTTGAATGAAATCCATTGTTAATGTTGGTATACTGATGTCAGAATTGTGACCGAATTCGATATATTTTATTCATCATGATATAAACAAGCTTTTAATTATCAGATATTTGTTGCAGATATTAGGTAGAATCATTAAATCATATTATGGAAATATGATTGAAAGAAATATCAAATGTTAAAAGTTTTCACTTTATATATTTATTTTGATGGCAACATGTAGAGAATAGTATATAGTATTCCAAATATTCCAACATCCAGGCATTTGTAATAGCTTAAGTGACTTAAGATATTTCCTACGTTTTTCCTAATTATCTATTTTTAAGATAAGCCATTAGTATTAAAGTAACAGAAACCTTAAAATCATTTAAAAGTGATTAAAAAGAAGATAATAATAGTAAACTATAAACTATATGTTAGCCTTAAAAATGTGATATGTAGTTGATAATTGACATTATTTTATTTATTTTTTTTAAAAACATAAATATTGGTACAAGGAAGCACCAGATATATATGCGCCACACGAATCACATTTGATTTGTGTGACGGATGTGATACTGCTCAGGTGCCCAAACTGAAGCACGTGATTTTCTTAGGGGACAACAATCGTAGCCTTTGACCTAAAGATCTGATTCACAAGGCAGTGAAGCATCGTAAGGAGATGCAGTTCCATGGTAGCCGGTGATCTACGATTAATACATACGCCATTTGTTCCCTCAGGATACTGGAGCCTATGTGCATCATAGCTTGAGAATCAGGGTTTACCAACTTCCCTAGGTGGACTCGCCGTATCCACCAACCCGGTTAAAGCATCGGACATTCTCTTTTCGTCCTCTCTATTTCATAAACAACACCCGTGGAACGAGAAGGCAATGAGTAGGACTTCCCTGGCAGACGCTGTATACGTGTGGCTATGTGAGAGCATTTGGAAAGGGAGAGTGGACTCTCCCAACTCTCGATCGTACCAGGGCATTTGGGGGCAACATAATTCCAAGCTTCCAAGCTTGTTTGTTATAAGCTCAAAATATTAGATTTTAAGCATATCATTAAATAATTCAATAAATGAAATTGTCAAAAATATCAAAGTGTCTATTTTATTTATGTTTTATAGCTACATATTTTTTTAATTGTTTTTCACATACCTAATTATTACCAATGAGAGAAATAAGTTTACATGTTCAATGTTTATTTATCGTGATAGTTACCATAAACAATAAGTTGTATAACACAAAGTACACATCTATCAACAGTATGTTTATATATTTAAATAGATGCATGACTTGACTAGATTAGAAAGATCGATTACCACTTATATAGTTGTTTTATTAAATTATATATAGGTTTTACAGAACAAAGATTTCAATTATTTAACCAGATAAGAACTGAAATTAAAAAAATTATTTAGTATATTTGTAATATCCCAATGAGTAGGAAAAAAACAGATTTTCTGACGTTTTGTGACTCAAGGTGAGCCACTTCTTCAGAGAATAAATAACCAAATTAATATTAGTCCAAGTTTAAATAGTACAAATTGGATCAATTATATTTGGTTATTTATTCTCTGAAGAAGTTGCTTACATTGAGTCACGAAACGTCAGATATTAAAAAATATTAAAAATATATTAATTTATTTCTAACAATCTATCCAATGCTCAATTTATTCAAAATAATCAAATTAAAACTTGGTAATGATACCTGAAATCAAGAGTTTAATCATTTTTTACAATCAAAATATAACATGAAGAAAAAAACTGTAGGATTTCATTATGAAGTTTCTGATGCTTATATCAGTAAACATATGGAAAAGATTAAAAACTAGAGATATTGCTTTCCAACACTTTGATTTTCCTGAAGCGTTTCTTTTTGTTAAAAATACTATTAAAAGATATCCTGTTATTAAGTAAGTCTGTGTTATAAAGGTAGGATACTTGTTATAACCCTAGTGTTTCTTATTATAACAGTTTTTTCACTTTTTATACGTATGTGGGACGTTGATTTACCTTAGACAAATATCTACACTAGATTCCCTCTCAGTGTCTATTCTACAGGACTTCAACACAACTCAGATCAAGAACACGAGATTGGCCTGACTAGAACGTCAATATATTTTCACACCAAAATCCGACACAATCCAACAACAAGAACAGTTAATCAATGATAATCAGGATAGGGGAATATATAACACAACATCTGTCACACCGTCTACATGTCTGACTCAGCAAAACAACCAATCATTATCATTCTCGCCCACACATCAGTCTGCTTAGGATAAAATTTTGTTGGGAATTCAACATATCACACTATTTGTAACCTCTTGGAAATCATCAGTCAAATCCTTTTAAACATTAAAAGTAATCTGTTACATGAATCGATCACGGATATGGTATTTTTCATATGAAACACCAATAATTTATTTAGCTTTCGGGTTATTAATTTACTATTAGGCGCCTCATATAGAAAAAAATGTTCGCAAACTTCCTGTTGTTAGATGGTCACAGGAAAAACAACAAAACTCACTGAATCCAATACATCTAGATGATGATTTCAAGAAAGAATAAATTTAGTGTCGATAACTATATTACATACTTTATGCATCACATTATGACCCATCCACTTCAATACTACGGAACTATAATAAAAAGTAGTATTGACATATTCGCACAATAATTTCCAGTACGAACAACTTGGTTAGATTATGTTTAGTGAGTCAATTGTCGAATTTTATTAATCATAGAATCAAGTAACCCACTGCTTGATATCTTATGACTTAAATGATCAAAATGTATTTCTTTAATTTCCAGTCCGGTTACTCCAGAAGAATTACAACACCCATCATTCTGTTTAGCTTTTATTGTCATGGATCATGATTTGATAATGTCGGACGATTTCGAAGGATGTGTATTTATTCGACCTTCATTACTTATGAAATCATCAAATAAACAGGAAATAAATTCAGAGAATTCAAAACTAGTTTTTTCAAACTCTCGATTTCAGAATCGATCTGCTAATGAGTATAAACAGTTACAATTATGCTTACCGCTGATCAGACCTATCAGTAAAAGTAAGTGAATATATATATATATATATATATATATGACCATTTAGTACATGAATGTTATTCTGACTGAAATTAGAAATACAAGAGGCTTGGTGTACAGTTTTTTCAATAGAGATAGTTTGCCAACTCATGAAATCACAGACTATTAGTGTAGCGCCAGTGTTGTTGACATAGTTAATTAAAGTTGACCTTTGCAAATCACAAACTATATGCTCTTACTGTCAATCTAACTTTGTATCCTAAACGTATTATCACTATCCTTTTATGCTTGTACATTCTATCGTATTTTTAGTTTATTTTCATATTTAACTGGCTTTAAGGGTCATATGTTCGTGTTTCAATGAAAAATGAACATCGTTTAGGGAAATATTGGTGCGATAGGCAATAAACAGCTAATTCATCCTATTTTTAAGACTTCTCGTAAGTATGCACCAACAGATCCACAAAGAGTCCGCGTCACAAGATTCACGTTCTAGTGTGAGAACAACAATTTAAGACCACTTAGACAGGAAACAACGCCTTATGTTGTTAACCTCAGTCAATTTATTTCCCAATGCAATCATCAATCAGTGTTAACAGGGCGACGTTTTATCAATTCCTATATAGGTAATTCCACAGGTTATGGTTTTGAGCTAAAAAGCCATGAAATCTTAAAACTTCACTAAAGAATCATTCAGACAGAAAATACTCATGATTAATTTTTATACCGTTTTAATTCTAAACGTGAAAATGAATATCCATGTAGGCAGTTAGCTTGGCCATCTGAAGAGTTCTTTCAAATGGGATTTATAATGATAAAAAAATTATAGCTAATGTGTATCGTACACCCTTTTAAATTCATTTGTTAGATAATATTCAGAAACAAATTTCCGTCATGATAAACTTTTATTTTCAGAATATGGTGCATTGGATATTTTGGGTCAACGCACCGACTCATATGCCCAAGAGATATTTAAACGATGGAAAACCCTAGAAGATAGTGAAATAAATCAATAATATGAAAGTATGGGTAAAATAAGACAATCACTTCATTAAATTTCCCTAATAAATTCATTTCATTTTTTCTTAGAAGGACAATAATACAGAGAATATTGGTACTTCAACATTTACTCATATAATCAAGTTTATTTTCTCTTTATAATCCATCTTCACAGTCATCATATCTCTATCATTATGACTAGTACATTGTATGATCAAGTTTCTTTTTAAAAAAAGAATTAAAACGAACTGTCGAGGTTTTCAGTAGTCGTAATGTATTATACATCCACATGTTTGTGTTTATCCATACACATTATGAAGTAATTCACATTTTATTATAAACATTTTTTTATAAGTATAATAATGTTCAGTATGAAAATCAACTCATACTTGTTTCTTTTTGTATATACACAAATAAGAAATAATTCAAGTAATAAGATTATATTGTTTGTTATTTCAACACAGAAACATTGGTCCCAAATATATATGCGTCCCGCAAATCATTCGATTTGTGTGTGAGCTGGGATACTGTCCAGGTACCGCAACCGAAGCATGTGATTTTCTTAGGGGGCCACACCCGGAGCCTTTGACCTAAAGGTCTAATCAACAAAGCAGTCTCATGGTAGCCGGTGACCAACGATTGATTCATACGTCATTTGTTCCCTCAGAATCCTGGAGCCCGTGCGCACAGCTGGATTGGTATCAAGGTTTTCCAACTTCCCAAGGTGGATCCTCTATACTCACCAATCTGGTTTGAGTGCCAGACACTTGCTTTTCGTCCTCTCAATTTCGTAAACAACACCCTGGACTTGAAAAAGTAGTGGCTATATATGCGTGGCCATGTGAAAGTATTTCAAGAGGAAGAGCTGACTCTCCCCACTCTCAGCTGTACCAGGGCATTTGTTGGTTAGAGTAGATGTGGTTCCAGTGGAGTGTATTTCAAAATAGTTTTGACTATTCGCATTTATCTATACAGACTTTTAGAAAGTCGACATTCGCATTTGCTATTACATGATTGATAGCGTATTCCTGAAAACCGTTGAGTTACTTAATCACTATAAAACCCTTTCCAATTTTAAAACAACGAAAGAAACTTATTGACTGATTAAAAGAAATGAAGACCTTCAGTATAGAAAATTTTCTTTTCGATATCACTTTTTTATGCTTTACAATCGTACTAACGGGTAAGTTTTGCATATAGTCATCTATAGTAAAATAGGAGTTTTACATAAATAAACAAAATTATAAAATAATAATATCAAAAGGGCTGAAAGGTCACAGCATTTCAGATATCATAACAACTAAGTAATACAATAGAATTTTGAATATCCACTTAGATGTAAATTATATTACAAACTTTTAGGCAGCAAAGTTCGACTCATAGCCTCTACGTGGCGCTGCTAGGTAGTGAAAGCAATCTTGCTTGCTAATTTGGGTCGGTAAAGATCAAAATAAATCATCAATCCAATGATGTATTTCGATTACTCGAAGTTCATTCTCCGAGGCTTTAAAATTCGTGATGGCCTGCCCGATGTGTATGCTTATGTATTTGAATGGCATGAGTTTCGGCTTGTGCAGTTTATGTATGTAGGTATATGCAAAGGGTACGCGCGTGGGCTAGAACGAGGTACGTAAGCTGAAAAAATTTCTGTCCTTTGTCTAATAAAACCAGCGACCTAATCCTCCAGGTCAAAAACATACTAAGAAATAGCAAATACTATAGAGAGGTGACCAACAACCCTCCACGATAGTGTTAGTGCTCATGAGGATGTCATGAAGTGCATAGATTAGTCATTGTACCAGTGGTATGCATGTAACGCATAAGAGACAGTCAGTTGTATCATATACATTCGAAGGAAGCGGTAACCATCTACACACCCAGGGGGTGAATATACCTATATGTATGGTATGGGACACATTGATGAAAACTTGGATGTTATTGGTGTGCATGTAATGTATGCTTGCTCGCAGGGTAAGTATACCTATATGTATCCTAAGGGATGCCTAAGTGAAAACTTATGTGTTATCGATATACATGTAGACTATGCTTGCTCTAGGTGCGATGCCCACACACCAAGACCCGGACGTTCCAACAATTTTCCCACGAAACCACGTCCGCACGGCCGTTTCCTGAGCCCCCGAAAGTGGGTTTTTATTCCAGATAAGCCTGTGGGCTTTACTAACCTCGAATGGCTGAAACACTGCACAAACTTCTGATTCACTTTCCAATTTATCTTATTGTAAACTTGAAGAACAATGCCCTGATACCTCTTTAGTATGTTACAGGAATATTTAATTAACGAAAACGTTCATAAAGAAAAATCTCTTCCCATTTTAGATTCTAACAATTAAAATAAAAACCTTATAAGCAAAGACAGATAGTGGCTAGTAGTGGAATCCAGGACGTGCGTCTCGTCTTATTTGAGACTCACCAGCTGGATGTATCTGCGTCCTGGATTTCACTGCTAGCTACCATCCATCCTTGCTTATAAGGCTTGTGACTTAAGGCAATATCGAGACGATCAGTACGGGATGCACATATATCAATAAGAGACTGATCAATTGCAGTCCTAAGCATCAATAGGAAGATTCCAACAAACAATACAAAATGAATTAACATAAAAACCTTTATCTTTTTCGTTCAAAATATACAATTTCATCGCTACATTCTATAATCCAATATATTTAGTTTAATTCAATAATTACTAGTTAGTATACTCACGGCAATTAGATAAGCTTACTCGTAAGTAATTACAAAAAATCATTTTGTTCAAAATGTATATGAAACTAAGAATTTCCTTTATTCAGCATCTTATAAATTGACTTACTTAAACACATAAATATTGGTACAAAGGGGCACCAGATATATATGCGCCACACGAATTTCATTCGATTTGTGTGACGGATGTGATACTGCTCAGGTGCCCAAACTGAAGCACGTGGTTTTCTTAGGGGGGAACACCCGGAGCCTTTGACCTATAGGTTTGATCCACAAGGCAGTGGGGCATCGTGAGGAGATGCAATCCCATGGTAGCCGGTGATCAACGATTAATTCATACGCCTTTTGTTCCCTCAGGATACTGGAGCCCATGTACACCATTGGTTTGGAATCAGGGTTTTTCAACTCCCTTAGGTAGATTTTCTGTGTCCACCTACACGGTTAAAGCGCCGGACATTCGCTTTCTGTCCTCTCAATTTCGTAAACAACAGTAATGCCCTGAGAAGGCAGTGAGTAGGACTTCTTCGGCAGAGGTTATATACGCGTGGCCATGTGAGAACATTTCGAGAAGAGCTGACTCTCCCAACTCTCGGTCGAACCAGGGCATTTGGGGGCTGATAAATTAAGCATTGATGCATAACTTTTTCTTTTAGAAAATAACCACTTCATGTGATAAATCTTTTATTATTAAAAAAAAAGACAAACGTCAATTCTTCCTTCCTTTTTTCTCTCTCAATTAATAAAAAAAGACGAATTGCTTAAAAATAAATTGACATAGTAAGTGAACACGTTCACAGTACACAATTTAATTGACATTTATTATTATTTTTATTTAGTTATTAAACGAACTAAATCTTTTTCCATGAATAATAATGATAATAAGACTAGATGAAAGTAATAAAAAAGAAAACACAATTAAATAGATGCGTAATAAAGAAAGAATATCATTAGTAGAAAGACTACTTAAAAAACCATTGAAAGTAGATTATGTTTTAAAAAAAAAGAAAGTGAAAAGACTAGACATTTTGAAATATTCTAAATTATATTGAATAATGAGTTTTGTACAGAATTTTTACATGTTAATTAAAAATACATTTAATCATAATTCTAATAAAACAATGATCAGAACAAGACAGTCGGAAGAATAGAATCTAATGAGAGACCATTACGATGAAGAAGTACAAGAAAAGTCGATGATAAACAATGATGACAATATCAAAGATAATGACCATGACAATAATGATAAGAAGGAAGCACATTATTAATCATCAAATGATTATTATTATTAACAAAACGCATCATAAAGAAATCAAATAATTTTACAGCCAATATTTGATCATTCATGTAATGTTACTACACTCATGTAGAAACTACTACTACTACTACTACTACTACTACTACTACTACTACTAATAATAATAATAATAATAATAATAATAATAATAATAATAATAAGAAGAAGAAGAAGAAGAAGAAGAAGAAGAAGAAAGAGAGGAAGAATAGAAAGTAACTAGTGTGTGCTTTGATAGTAATTTGCAAAAAAATTAGTTGCATGTCAAATATTTGTGAAAGGAATGTTCCGGAAGAATATTTAACAATAAGCAGTAGTGCATGGTATGATTTATTGTAATAAGAAGAAAAGAATATACGAAATGAAGATAGTACTCAGCAGCTGGGCTAGCTACATTTTTAATACCACATGGAATCAATTAATTAGTTCAAGTAAGCAATTTTCTTGGTACAACAACAATTTACATAATCTTCACATTATTATCTTGACTGTGAAACAGGTTCAAATTTAAATATCACACCATATAGTTGACCGCCTAACCTTCGAGCAAGCCAAGAATTTTTAATCACAGCTATTTTGAGTGTATCCACGGTGAATTTTGAATTTAAATTACAATGAATTGCTCGACCCATACCTTCAATGACAATCAAATCGACCTAAATGATAAACATTCAGAACATAATCATATTTTACAAATACTGAACAATTTCAGAGTCGCAAGTTACGATTTGATTACAAGACGTTCGGCAATGTTAATTCATATATGTCCTCCAGGTAGAGAATAGAGATGACAACATAAACGGATATGAAGTAGGGTTATAAAATTTTATGCTAACTATGATGAGTACGATTCGAGTCGGTATGATATAATATAATACATAATGACAGATATTGTCAGTAATTCCAACCGACTTGTGTATCGACGAAATCATATTCTTTTTTAACTCAGGATTAAAAATTTGAAAGTTATTTACTATAAATTACTACCGAACAAAATAAATAGCGAAAAACAACTGTGGAATGATCTATTCAGATTAAAGTTATGAGGAAAATAAAGATTGATACATTTAACTCTTTGAAATGTTCATGTACTGGGCAAATAACAGAGGATTAACGGTAAAAAATAACCATGTATATACATACCTGTTCACGTTCTGCCAATTGAACCAACGAGCTAGCAAGTAGACGGAAATCTAAACAAGGTGAAGTTTGACCATTTTCAGCTAGCATAAGTTGTCCATTATTAAGCGATTCAGCTATTAAAGGCTCGAAAGAGGCTATCATGTGTAGGAGTAGCTCCAGTTCTTGATAAGTTATATCATTGATAGTAGGACCTAAACAAAGAAAAATACTTAAATAAACAATGAAGCATTGAAATAGGCATAAGTTATACAAAAATTTACTTGATAAAAAGTAAATTCAAAGTGAAAATCAATAAACATTTTCTTAAAAGTCCCTAAGCAAAGTGAAATTTTATCCTTACTCAAAAGAGATAGAACATAAATATTATTATTAACTCATCAACAAGGTATAGATTTGTATACTTGACATTGAGCTATACACTTAGTAATAGGGATAATGCTACAAACCAGTTTTCCAAGTCTAAATAAATAAGACAGAATTAGAACCTTTAATGGAGTAGCTGAAAATCGAACCCTTTAATCATTGAAGTACTATTGTTAAAAATGTGGTCATCAATATAAAGCACAGAAATTTCCCAGTTTATCTACTGTTTCACAGTATGACCTAATTGCTAAAAATTTTAATTGTTGTCATTGGATTCCGTTATACTTTGTGAACCTAATATATCAAGCTTATAATCCTATTTTCACTCTCGCCCTAATGAGTATGCCCCAATCTAAGATATCTTATTGTTACCTAATTTAAAGTTTCACCCAAAACAACGAAAAATTAAACAACAGATTTACGTTGACAAGTGTTAATTATAATTGCTTTGTACTAGTCCTTTATACTTCACGACAATTTGGTTGCAAAAAATATATGATAAATACAGTACTATAGGGGTTTCATGCTTTGAATTACGTGTATTTATTTTAATGCACTTGTGATCCACTCATCCAAAAAAATAAACAACTAAAAATTTGTGAGCATAAAATAATTATGGTTAGTCATTGTTAGTAAGATTTAAGTTAGTTTATTGAACACAACTATAACCATAATTATATCATACTGTTTACTACTAACACTACAACTTTCAAGGTTTCACCCAATAGGGAATAGTCTTTTTCAAGAGTCCACTTAGTAGAAAGCAGAAACATCTAGTCAGAATAAGTGATATGCTGAAATTTGATCAACTGGAAAAAGTGACAGGAACTGGCCACAAACATTTTTATAAGTCTCACTATTTAGAAAAAAGCAATATAAGGAGATCAGAAGACGTTTAGAAAAAAACTTAGACCATGTGATTACTCAATTTCTACCATTCTCTACCCATTAAACGTGAACAGTCGGTAATTTAGACAATTGAGTATAATTGAACAGTAATTACACAACATCGTGAACCGAAGTCTATTAATTTAATAAATACTGTTTACTTGAATTAGCCGTCATTATTACTTTACATCCACGACTAAGAAATTCCATAGCAAATGGTAATACACCAAGTATAATATCTGCACCACTATTATCGCAGAAAATTAATATACAACGATAAGGTGATCCGGATACGCTGATTCGATTAATCCAATTATCATAATTGTCAACTAACCAAGGTCTAGACTATAAGAAAAAATATAAATATATGATAATAGTGAATAATTCAATTTTTAAGAAAACCGATATAATTAAAAGATATAAATAATAGAAATTTAAGTGTATATGAGCATGACTTTATCTAGTTATACTTATAAGTAAGGTGATGTTTATGGAGCATAAGTATTTTCAAAAGCGTACCTGAAGCAAACAATTTAAAGATGTTTGGCACTGAGAGACAAACTTGTAAACAGAAATCGGTCTATAATCAAAATTTTGAAGTACATCTGTTAAGACTGAACAAAGTGTGCGGCTTCCTAAGATAAATTGAGTGAAATGAGATTGAAATTTATAACTCAGTAATGGAAATTTTAGTCACTTGTCCTCTGAGACAACGCTTTTGTACAAAAAATTCAACTCACTTGAACTTTATCTAATATAGCATGAAAGTCAGCGACACCAAATTTATTCTTTGGAGCTTCCTTTAGAAATTGAATTGCCTCAGCTGCACCCCAGTCAAACATATTACCAGCCAAAAGACCTTCAATCAAAGAAAGTTGACGATTAGACCAATCCAATTTAGAAAGTTCACTTAATCGATCCGTAAGAGCAGAAAGAGCAGCTCGATTTTCAAACTTTCAAAATAAAACAAAAACGAACCATTTATGATAAAATAAAATGACATATCAAATAATTTTTAATAATGTCATTTTAATATTCTAAGATGAATATTTTATTATATATGAACAATGAGAAATGTTTAATGCAACTGAATAGCCTAATTACATATCTGAGTCAGATGGTGAGACTTGGATTAATATTTGACAGTGGACAATAGTAATCAATGATTGAAAGACGAACAGCGAAGCTACTATGCTAACGCTTTTCCTTACATATTATTTAAATTTTTCGCTTACTCTTTTCTGTAAACAAAAGACATCCCCAAATCCATATTCACGTAAGAAATGCTGTTGAGCGGATAAAAGGCATCTAACAGTGAGCACTCCATGACCACTTGGATCAGCACTCAATTCACGTAGGAAACGTTTATATCGTTCAGCGAACTGATGTGAACGGTCAGAGGCATCTGATAATGTGTCAGATTGACTTTCTTCAGCTTTTGCTCTGTGATATTCTATACAGCTCTGAAATATACAAAAATCAAATAAATTACATTAGAAAGGTATTGAAGCTGAGTGATACTGAATATTACAATAAAAGAATGTACTATGTGACGTAACCGATAAAACACGTTACGCTTTACTAATAAAATGTTTTCTATAACCTGGCTTCTTAACAATTACCAGATATTAATTTGAAACAAGATTTATTGAGATATTTTAGACCAAGAAAAATGAGAAACTACGACTTTAAAATAGAAGCCGACTAGCATCAGTAAATGATTGGATTACGAAATATGCACTTTTCTCAAATAAGCTACTTAAAATATATTTCCTTCTCATTGACATATTTCAAATCCACACACATAGAAAGAAGAAATTCTTACAGTTCGACTGATTCAGTGATTGAGAAGTACATTTTTGAGTAATAAATAAAGAGATAAATTATCTGTTTTGTTGGAAATGTGCAGACAAATTAAAAATCCAAAGCTTTGAAAACTATTATAAGACGACCCAATACGTATGTATAGTGTGCATACGTAAAAAAAATTCGTTTATAGTATTTTTATACTGTTTCAGTTGTGAGTTTTGATTTAACTCAGTAATTGTTGGTTTGTCTTTTACTGTTTCTAACTTATAGTTAAAATAATCAATCACCTTGATCAATACCATAAGATAAAATTTATCAAAGCAATGTGATATATGAACGCAATACATTTGGAATAATGTGACCATGCATTAACTTGTTAAGATATTTATTTGCGAAAAATAGGTCAGACTAGACAGTAAAATTTAAAAGAAAAACAAAGATAATGGGTAGAAAACAGTATGAATCATACCACCCTGGATAATATTTATCTCATAAATCAGACTGGTTTGATCCTTGTTTTTAATAATGCTTGAAGGTTTTAACAAGTTAATGTGCAGTCTGATCTCTTGAAATATACGGTCCTAGATTATCACATAGTTTCAATAAACTCTGTTTTCTTACTGCATTATCTAAAAAAGTTAACAAATTAGAAAGTGTATCGACCGAAGTTGAGCTCCTACATCACTGAATCCCAGCTTACTGGTCTAAAGGCTAAGTGTATGCATACAAGACCGACGGTCCTGGTTTTAATTTTCGGTTACGGGGTTGTAAATGCCCATTTTTGAACAGTCCTACACTAGGACGAGACGGTAGTCTAATGCTTTCGGGTTTTCAATGGTTGTTTAACTTATATCGGTTTTTGATATCAATAAAAATGATACCTGTTATCAAGTACTGTGCCATAAATGACCTAATTTTATACAGACTGAGACTTTGGATTAATGGTTCGTTGGTGTCTTGGAATTAACGTACATAAGTGAGTTTTTAAATTAAATATGACCGAAGGTGCGTCAGTTGACTTTTAACGTGCTTAGATTGGGGATTGGGCATAGTAGAATTATCCGTGAGAGTTATTATTTACCGTAACCAGGTTATGAGAATTAGTGTTGTTGGAGTAACGCGGGAAACACAACATGTTATAGATCAATCGCAGTAGACGTTAGCCTTTTTCACTAATTTATTATTAGTTCATAAAAGCTTAGTATCATATTGAGTTAATAAATACTCCGAAAAAATCTATAGAGGACTATTTTCAGACAAATAAAATCAAAGCTTTCCACATTTCATACACATACTATTGACATATTTAAATGGATAGTTATGAAGAAAGTATTTTACTCGTTGTGCTTAGTCAGTCAGTCAGCTACAACGTAGGACCAGGCACATATATGCATCGGTCCAAGTTGCTATACCTCGTTAGCACAACAAGATGAACACTGGATTCATAGAAGTACTTAATTTAGTGATGGTAATATATAAAAGAAAGGTCTTTGTGCTTAGCTACCTATTCAAACAGTAATCGTAAGGACTGTATATCAAATGAAATAATTTTACGCTGCTTCAACTTTCTACTTCATTTTATTTCCATTTTGTGCAGATTTTATATTTTTTGGTTTATTTAACAACCTGTTTCTTTTGAAAGTTGTTTCTTAGCAAAAAAAATGATTTCGACTCGCTGAATACCTCAATGGAAAGTTAAAGTTTTTCTTAGTTATAGTCTTAATTGAATTGTACCTAATGTCATATACTACTTTTATCAAGCTCTATTAATTTCTTTCTGATTGTACCTCCCTTTTACCTATTTAATTTATTAAATATAATATTTTCTTATTTGTGCATTCCATAATACTTTAAGTGTCCAGTTCTACCGAAATGTATGAATTAAAAATAAAGCAAATAAAATTATTATCAAATCAATAAACTCGAAATCAAAATCTGTTAGAAAATTATTGTGTAGTTTTGTTCAATTCTAAAAAACTTCTTATTCTTCTGAAATACGAAAGTGATTATACTTGGATGGCAAGAACTTTATCTAATGCTTATACTATCTGTTTAGTGGTAAAGATTTGTAGCTCAGGTGGATGATTTTAGTGGAGTTTCGTTCTCTGAGCTAGGTAGCTTCGTTGTGGAACTTTCATTATTCTTTTGAGCAATATCATCAGCACAAACTCCAGGTAGAAGTGAAGCGTTCGAATCTCTCCACATATGACTCAGTTTGTCCCGTAGATCTCGATGTTGATTGGTTATTGTTGACCTTTAACTTGTTATTGTCTACTTCTTTATTTTCATTGTATCTCCCGATGATTCGATTCCTGGACCTATATTTGTCCATTATTTTTCTGACTGATTGATGTTTGTTGATTGCTGATTGACCTTAGCGTCAAGCTTCTAAAAATCCTCTAATCGTTTTGGTATTCCCTCCACCCAAGATCTCAACATTTTTCAAGTTGAATGTATGTCCACATGTTTTTATATAGGTGAGATTTCATAGTGTTTGACCTCTAATCAAGCACTTCACCTGAAATTTGTGCTGCTGATGAACAATCAAAGCTCGACGACCAAACCGTCAAGCTCAGAGAACAAAACTCCACCTAAACCTATTTAATATTACTTACTTCGAAACAGCCTAACCAATAAATCCTGGCTTCTTCATCGTGAGTTAGATCCCATGTATCTGGTGAATAATTTGCAGGCGACTCTAGTAAATGAAACATTTCTAGAGAATGTGTAAATACACGATCGAGTTCAAAGTTAGGTAGTTTTGAAATTTCGTGTTTCTGTGAGGTAGACTTTGAAGAATGTTTTGAAACAGACTTGCTTTCTTCTGCTTTTTGAGCGATTATTGAGTGGTTCGGATTCGATACTTTACCAACTGAATTCACGATTGGCAGATCGTGGGAAGAAACTTTACTGAAATCAATTTCTCCTTTACTGTGATTGGTCGCATATAGTTTTGATTCAAATGGAATATCAGAGAAAGGAGTATTACCCGAACTAACTACATAGTTCTCAGACCATAGTGCTTTGCGTTCCGTTGAATTATTATTCGTACAAGCTTTCAGAAATGCACCTACTGCCCCTAAATACCCTTCATGCCGTAAAAATAGAGCTTTGTATTCTCCACTTGACCAAAACCGAACGGCATAGGTAATTACCTGGATAGACAAAAAGAATGAAGTTTAATGCGTTAGATCAACAATTACAATGTAAAGCAGAATAAAATTAAACAGTTCATAATAACTTATAGTGAAATTCGACAGAAACATTAAATTGAGAATGTGAACGATGAAATTATATGGATGGAATTAGTGAACTTCAAAGAATAATATACATTTCCTTGATTATAGTGATAGTATGAAGCATTTTACACAACTTATCAACTTTTTATAGCATACAAAACGTGAACACAATGGCACTAAAACAAAGCATGAAACCATTATTAGCTTTTAGTATCAGATTTGAATAAATCCAAACCAAATGGATAAGAGTTATCATTCAGAAAACTGGATTTATTATTAACGAATAGTAGTTTTCAAGGATGATCAAACACTAATATTTACTTTTGTTTCTCATTTTATAACCCCAAAAAAACATCGTTTGATATTAAAACCCCATAAGTACGGTGAAGTACGGTGGAGTTCGAATTTAAGGACTTTGATATGCTTTTTCCTCTGAAAATAAGGGAGGTATTTTTCGGTATTTGGGTCATCCTAATCCAATTGTAATTGCAAATACTTTAAACAGTTATACTCGTCGCTATCATTCCACACAAAACAGTGTTTTCTTACCCATTGGTAACTTTAACTATGTTAAGCATACTGAATGAGGCAGTCATGATGTTTTACAAAGCAGCTACCATCTACTTCGATACATTATACTAGTTAGGGAAAGAGTATGTTGGGAAAGTGTTATTTGTTCCCAAACCATGACATAGCAGAAGTAAATCATATTACTGACAGTGTGAATAAGCTAAATTGGGATATGTGCATTTTCCTAACCGAGATCTAGTAGAAAATTATAATATATCTTGAAAGATATTAGGCAACATGAACTGGAGTCGGTCAGAGACGTGGATGAATTTACTGTTTATCTTCTTTTGAATTCTAAGTTTTGATATTACCGTATATTTTTCTTTTTTTTCTTTCAAACGGTATCCATCATATTTAACTTACCAATCCAGTTGGAGTTATAATTTCTACTCGTTTACTTTATGTCGTATCGTATTATGTTCGTGTAAATGGTGAAGCTTTGGACAAATTCATATTTACGCCGTACTCTACGCCGTTTGCGACTATGATAATCCGGATGTACTCAAAGGAGTAGGATGTCTACTAGTAGGTTGATGGCTTTACTAACGAGAACATATCATAATACAAGTGTAATTTTCATTCCAAAAGGAAAGTGCTTACTTCCATTGTTAACCCATGTCCTCGAATAAAATATCCACCAAAAATAATTCGTGTAAGGCTATGCTGTTTAGCATACAGACAAGCCAATTGGCCTATATTACTGTAAATATTAATCAAGAAAAATAATGTTAGTTAATATATATACATAACATAGTTTTAAGTATGAAAGATTTCGTTCTTCATGGAATCAGAACAAAATGAAGTTGGTGGGTTAAGAACAGATCTGAAACAACTGTTTAGAGCTCACTGGATATTAATAGTTTTCCATTTAAAATCAGTTTACGGTGAGAATTATCTTAGGACTGGGTGACTTTGTGGAAACCAAGATGGAGGACAGCCGCCTAATATATAATCTATTTGGACAAACGATACAATATCGAATCTGATATTTAGGTAAGCTTAATGATCTGTAGCTTTATAAAATAGCAGAGCTTAATGGCTGGACATAATCCCATGTGAATGGTCCCCATCATTAATCATTCGCAGTTACAAGAAAGGACAGAAATTTTTTGTGATAACTACAGACGAACCAATCTGAGACATACTCGAAAATCACTAGGATATGATTACGGATCTTATTGAAACATAGCCTGCTTATCGTGAGACCACTGAAAGAGCGACGGTTAAGTTAGACACAGGACATTGGTGAAATATTGCAAAACGGTCGGTGAAGATGTATCTCTATCGACTAACGTGGCTAAAACACGTACTGAATATACTGAACCACAGTCTATGTTAAAGCGCAATGTTGGTTGGCATCAAAGTAGATAGAAGGAGAGGTAGGAATGGCCAAATAAAGAAATAGTAGATGCAGGCTACTCGGTTGATGTACTCATGGTTATTGTAACTGATGGTCGGAGACACTGAAATGTTTCAAAATTGGTTGTAGTAAGGCGGACACATTTCTCTACTCCTATATCCTGAGTTTTAAAACTGTTCACAAGTTCATTCTTTCTTCTTATATCACATTCTGTGTTTATTCTACTTTATTACAATTATTACCATTTCTACTGATTTGATATTCATCTTGATATCTTCACCTCACTGCGCTAGTATGATATAGTGACTCGCACCAATGCATATTTGCATCAGATCATTATATTTCTTATGACTGACTGGTCTTAAAACATACTGATACAAACGAAAATGGAGCTTCCAGTACTTAATAAAACAGTTGATAGGAATACATTGATATAATTTTATGAATTAAAAAGAATCCAGTAACCACAAAATCAGATCATTGTAGTAGATGAATACCTACGCTGATAATTCAGATTTGATGCTAATTTTCACAAATGAAGCGGCAAATAAATAAAAATCAACCTTTATAAAGCAAAAATGAATCAGACAATAAACTTCTCATGATATATACATAATTTTACGAACGCATACAAAATATGGCAGTCGAGAAACGAATTGATGCATCACAACTTATGCAACTATTCATATAGTGTAAAGAACTGAAAATTCACTACCACGAAATGGTGTCGGAAGATTTAATAATTCAATTTAGAGTAAATGATCATCACACGAGTAATAAACTTTAAAAAGAATTATTATTACAAACCATAATTTGTCATCCTAAAATCCGGATTATAACCTGTTTTCGCAGCTGCTTCTTGTTCGGGAAGGAGATTCTACTTGTGAGAACATATAAAAATGCGAAAACAGGAAGGAACAAATAATGATGGAGTCCGAGTTATCACACACTCAATTATATACCAGTGACCGACTAAACGATGAAGTCTAAAGAACGCTGCGCCAGAAATGATTCTTATTCTTGTGAAACATAAATCGATCGCAGAAACCAATACTGACTTTGAATATACGTTCAGTTTTAGTTACTCAGATTGGAGAAAGTTTTTTCCATGATGAAAAAAATACCGTAAATCAAAAGATCATGCCATTTGAAATAGTAATAAGATATTATATATCAACAGTAAACATAATAATGTATGACTGGAAGTCATTACTAACTCTTTTACTGTTAAACTTTACAGGATATAATACGGGATTCACTAGCTGTAAGACAAACGAAAGAAATACTGATGAACACTTACTTGCTAACTGTAATTAGTAGGGACTTCACCATATCACCTAACACACGAGGTTGTTCCGGATGACGAGCAGCTAGACCAAATGAGCTCGCAATTACATCCCCAGAAAGTCCAAGTGCTTCATACGCACCTCCATATATATCGCGTACCAACATGTCAACATGGCGGTGGTCACCAGAATCCGCCATTTCCAGAAGCTCATCGAAAGTAAACTTCCCTGTAGTATTAAAGTCACCGAAATTACTAGCGGAACATGACAGTAACACGAGAAAAAGTTATCGCGCCCACAATGAAATTTAGATAAAACAACCAGTAGTCTTTATCATATTAACTACATATACGGGCATCTATATGTCATGACTTTAATAATATGGAAAATTTAACTGGTCAGAAAACGGTGAAAATTTTCATCAGGACATTATTGATGCCATTTAAACTCAGACTGTAAACGATGACTTTTATTTCATTAAAAAACCAGCAAAACTAAAGCTTTAATTTGAAGTGACTTAACTAACGTTTTATTGACTACTGTGAAACAGATATGCTACAAAAAGTGAAAAATACTAGTTCATGATAGTCTTACCTCCAGATAACAGCGTTCCTAAACCCCAAAAAGTGCCACCCCCAATAGACGTTCCACCAACCCTTTGATAAGACGTGGGACTTTCAACTTTCAAGAAACTAACGCCAGACCCAACATTGACCAAAAGGAAAGGTAACGTACTCACCAAGCAATTTGGAACAAAGACGTGGGCTGGAGTAGCATGTTTATCATAATAAAATAACTCATCTGGGATGTTTCGAAGCATAAATACACATCCTCTTACAAGACAATCCATTTCATCTTCTTTATCCAATTCAACTCCCAACTTCGAACAAATTAGCTCACGATAGCGATAAGCACCCCCACCAGTCACCTTGATCTTATTAATTGTCTTTTTGGATAAAGCACCTTGATGTGTAATGTTAAAAAGAATGAAATCCAAACATTCTTCTATGTTCTTAGTTTCAAATTTTATGAAACATAATTTTTGTCCTTCATCTTCGTGTTCTGTGTACTCATAAAAGTCAAAAGGTATTTCATTTTCACTGACGCTTTTACGACACTGCTGGGGTACAGAACGTCTATAACGGAAAACGCGTTTGTACACTAATTTCGCAAGTGAACCACCGATGTCTAGTGCGAATATATTTTCATGAGCACCCTGATCAAACAATGGGTCAGAAAATTTTGAAATATCGACCGCTGAGGCATATGACATGGTAAATCTTAAGAAGTGGATCTGGAAGTGAAAAACACACAGATACGTCAGAAAATAAACAAAAGACGTAAGACTGATGAGATATTTGATTGATATATCATTTATTTTCTTGTGAACCCTGATATCAAAACAATACGGCAAATAACGAATCTATGGATTTGGTAAACATTTATGCTAAAATAATTATTTATCTATCTTAGTTCCAGCTGGCTTCGTAAGTGTTCATAGAATTAATTGTAAGTTTTATTAATTTAGAAAACATTATTGTCATAGAATTGATAAGTAATCAACCTTTTAAATGGAATTATGGACTCATAAGTTCGATGATTAAATCAGTCATTCAGCTACAACGTAGGACCAGGCACGTATATGCGTTGCTCCAAGTTGCCATACCTCATTAGCACAAGATGAACACCATATTCACAGTAGTTAGTTCAATGGTAGTAATATATCAAAGAACATCGCGTATAATGGTATAAATACAGGAAAGAATTACGGCAATGCTTATCTATTACGACAGACCAGTTCTTCTTACAAACTATGGTTTAACTACTTTGGAACTGCGTTCACTTTACGAAGTGAACTAAGTGGAACAGATGCGCAGTAACTTTCGGGTACTTGTTATCAAGTCGACTGACGTTTTTGTACAATTGGTGATTTTCCGAAGGCAGTATTGGGGATAACCCGAAATCGTTCAGGATGTAGTTAAAATGCGAAAGAAAACATTGGGGTTTGATCAAAAGACGTACATTAGTCTCCCAAAATTTGTAGAAAATTCTGGGAGTTTTGAAATATTTCCCCAAAATCTTCTATGACGGCTACCCAAATTTTCTTAAAAATAGGGAGATCGTGCATTAACATATTTCGAAGTCGTGCTGCCACTCGACACAAGTGGACGGGGTAAATGGAATTCACAAAAAAGCGACTACTTTTAATGAAGTTCAAATTCTCTTTGACTGTATTTCGGACGCCTAACTTAATACAATAGTAGAGCTCAGTAACGTGCAATCTTAACGAACACTCAAAAGTTCTGCCGGCTTCAAATACTTGCCAGGACTTTTTTTATAACCTTGAACTTGTCAAGGTGATGAGCTGAAACTTCTAGAGATTGTGTAATGAGATACAAAGATGTTGTGTTTTCAATACATTAGGAATATACAGATGTATCCATGCATAAGTACGTGGTTTTATTGGATGAGCTACAAACAACCTCCAATCATCAAGAACCGCACTCGTCGTTTGCTAAGCCACAAGAGGCACTGTTGGGCTGAATATAAACGAACTGATAACAACAGCGCGTACAGGCAATACAAACATATAAGGAACATATACACAAAGGCAATAAGAGAAGACAGGCTTCAGTTCCAGACCAAGCTTATCGATAAATTTGTCTCCGATCCGAAAAGCTTATTCAGTTACGCAGCTTCTCTTCGACAAGGCAAAACTGGAGTTTCTCAACTGCTTGGTCCTAATGGCCCGACCAATAACGACAGTGATGCCGCTAACCTTTTGGCTGAACAATACTCTCAGACATTTCAGCTGACCCACATCAACGATACTGACGAAAGCACCTGTACAGGACTTTCCGAAGTGGACCTGAGTGCTGACCTGGTGCTCCGTAAACTGCAACACCTAAAAAAAGACACTTCTCCTGGTCCGGATATGGTTCATTCCGCTGTATTGAGGGAAGGAACTTCAATCCTGGCGACACCACTTAGCGTGATGTTTGCACACTCGCTAAGAGAAGAAAACTACCGGAAATATGGAAGCTGGCCCACATCATACCAATTTTCAAAGGAGGTCGACGCAGTGAACCCTCAAGGGTATAAAACCCCCTTTGATTGATTGGCTCTCTTCATATTTAGAAAACCGACACTTTAAGGTCAGGGTTAACTTCACTCTCTCTCAGACTATGGAATGTCCTAGTGGGGTTCCCCATGGCTCAATACTAGGACCTCTTCTCTTCTTGATTTATATTAACGATCTTCCTCAACAAGTTTCATCTGACTTATTGCTTTTTGCTGATGATGTGAAACGTTGGAGAGAGATACGTAATCATAATGATATACTAGTTCTTCAGGAGGATCTGACCCGGCTTCAAAGTTGGGCGAACGACAACGGTTTTACCTTCAACACTTCAAAGTGCAAGGCAGTCCATCTGAGACATGTCGCAAACTATAGTTATAACTTAGGTAACTCCCCTCTAGAAGTTTCCCAAGTTGAAAAAGATTTAGGAGTATTGGTACCCTATGACCTGAAATCGTATGCGAACTGTGACAAAAACGCCTCTCAAGCAAACCTTGCACTGGTAACATTGAAGCGCATTTTTGGCCAGTTTGACGGTAGAACCTTCCACCTAATCTTCAACAGTTTTATTCGTCCCCATTTAGAGTACGGAAACATAGTATTTCCTCCCTCCCTCCAAAAGGATAAGAACACTCTGGAACGTATCCAACGTCGAGCCACGAAATCAGTTCGGGGTCTCAAATTCAAACCTTATGAAGAGCGCCTCAAATCACTTAACCTTTACCCGTTAGAGTACAGGAGTCTTAGAGGTGATCTTCTTATTTCATACAGTATCCTTAACACTTCTGGTCATCCCCTTAAACATCTTCTTAAGCTTAGTCATAACACTAACCTGAGAGGTAACACCCAGAAATTGGAGACCCTACATAGCAGAACAGACTGCAGACACAACTTCTACTCCGTTAGAGTTGCCAAGTGCTGGAATTCGTTGCCGACTGAGCTAGTCCAAGCTACCTCCCAGGAGTCCTTTAAGAGGAAACTTGACTTATTCTTAAGGACTAAGGATAACATATTATTAAGATTTACCAAATTCTTTTTTTCCTCTATTATCGTTCATATACCTAGGTTTTTGCCTGGAGGTATTGGTTATCCACTGCTACCAAACACGGAAGCCCGTTAAGCGAAAGCTTCTTCTATTCCGTCCTCAACTATTTCAACCATTTGAACCAATTGAATCTGCTAGCACCAAATAGTAGGAATCATGAAACTAATGATGCCATACACATTCAGATTCTGACAACGCTTTACACGTACCACATTTATGATAGAAAATATACCAACCCATTCAAATCAGGATTCGGAAGTGTGAAGGTTCGAATACATATTTGGAAGGCTATTTATATATTGGGAAGCGTTTAATATAAGCTGGGATGTGTAGAGTAATGTATCCACTCGTTATCTGGTGCGGATGCGTGACTGAGAGCCTCCATGTACTTGTTTCCAGTAAAACTGATGAGGTCAGAATGCTCGTCGAAAACTCACAGAACTACTTATTTGGAAGACTTAATTACCGATACAAAACTATGGAAGTTGAAGACAGGAAGCAAGATGGATCGACACAATCCTCAATGATGTCGAAACTTCTTCAGCATAGCAATCAACGGTATGGATCTTATATTTGTCGCCATTGTTTAGTTGTGGTTAAAGAGTCTTCACATAAAGTATAGTGACAAGAAACAATTTGTAGTGATGTGTCAAGTGGATAATTTGATACGACTAACAAACGGAAAGTTGAGGTAGGAGGTGAGCTGTCCGTTCTAAAAATTTGAAGTTGTTGCAAAATACTTTACAGTGTTTTAAAACGCTAATGAAGAAACGTAATGAACATTAATTAAAAGAGATAGTAGTATTTTTCTCCGTTGAGTTGATTTTTATTGTCCTGGTAGTTTATTACGCTTTAAGACTTATGATAATCAGAAGTATTCGAATTGTAGTATAAACTAGTAATCCCAGGAATAACGCAATTTAATCAAGAAGTACAAGTGGAGCACAAACGAATGTATTGTATTTGGAATTCAAAATTACAACAGTCATCAATACCAAGAAGTCATTGATTTATTTAAACACCACAACCGCCACAGCTCGAATTGGAGTGTAAGTGCCTGTAATCGATTGTTCGTCTTCTTCTTAAGTTCATCTTACATCGGTCCGAAAGTGTATTGGATGTAGACACTGTATTATCTAGAATGCACTCATTAGTATTAGAATTAACAACCGAAATTGGAACAGACTCACCTGGGTTCTGGAATTGTATACAATCAGCATGCCGGCTTTGTAGTGAAACCATTGATATTTAGAATTTGCATCATGGACTTTCCAACAATATCCTCCCCCACGAAATAATGTTGGGTCCTTACTTCGTAATGTTTTAGCCAATATGACGTTCCCAATTTGCATTATCTTCTCAAATCTTACGCATCGACTACTGTATATGAGTATTTGGGGATACACACTGATATATGATTTGAGGTATTCCATCATGTGACTTTGACTTGAATAAAAATCATGATACATATTCTTTTTGTTATTCATATTAGAATACACAGATGGATATGCATTGATATATGTAATTAACACATGTGATTCAACTAGGCTTGATTTACCTGCGAGACAATCGAATAGAAAACATTCATCTGCCTCATATTCATTAGGATAATCTTGAACTTGATTTGGATTCTCTGTCTGTGCAAACTTCACCTCTGGGCAAGCTGGTTCTCTGATTATTTCGGTAAATTTTGCAATCCCCTCTGATTCATTATACCCCTGACTAGGGATTTTATTCAATATACATTGTTCGTGAGAGTATCCAACATCTGATACAATAACATCAGAAATATAACTACAATTCGACTCATTCGGAACATATTTTTCACATTCATTAGGAATATCATTAGAGATAAATTGATTGTGAGGACCACTGACACTTGATATGATATCATAATTCGATCCTTCTGAAATATTTTCCTCAAATTGATTAGGAGTTTCATTAGAGAATAATGGATCATTCGAAAAATCAGCATCTACCAAAAGTGAATCCAGTTTTTGCTCATGATTCGACTCATTCAACATTTTGTTCTCAGAGTTGTAAGAAACTAAAATCAGAAGTATGTGAATTATTACGACAAACCATATCTGGTACAGTAACATGAGAAATCTGATAAGTTGGTTGGTTGGGAATTTTCGTCTCTCAATGA